CCCTGGATCGTTGTCTACTCTCATTGATTCCTCTGCCATTGTGAATTTGCTTAAGAGATATGCGCAATAGTGCGACGAAACGAGAGCCGGACGTCATGGTCCTACTGCACAGTATTGGATGCTGTATATTGATCTAGTTCACCTGTACCTCCTCCTCAACCGGGCATGTCGAACTAATGACACAACACTGTTCACCTTTGCACTGGGTGAGATGATACCCATGTTCTTCCCAACACATCGTCCCAATTACGCAAGATAGATGTCACGCTATCACCTCAACCTCATGAACATGGAGCATACTCATCCTGGTGTTAGAGATGTGTTTGATGCTGGTGCCCTATCCATCCGTCGAAACGGCAAGTCGTTTGCTAGAAGCGCGGTTGATTTAACCCTAGAGCAGACCGTCAATAAAGATGCTGCTTCAAGGCATGGGGGTATTGCATGTAAATGCACGCAAGCGCTGGACAGTTACACGTTCATTTCGAGTGGCAGTGGTGAGTTGCCTGTTAGAAATGGCAGGATTAACAGCCCCAGAAGAAGTGTCCAGAGATTTGACGCCAGCCAGAATTGAGAAAGACCAGTCTCATCTCCAAGACCTCATCAGAGAAATCAAAGGCACCTAGAACCCATTCATTCCCAGTGATGACAAACTGTATAGTCTCGCGACCGGAAAGGCTGCCTCTGACACTGTCAAAGATGATCTTCTGCAATTGCAAGTGAAAGGTTCAGAATGGCATCAGAAATGTGTCAATGAGTGCAAGGAAGACCCAGCCAGATTCGAGAAACCAATCAAACGCCAGAAGGTGAAGAACTTCGCTCAAGATGCAGTAGAGATGAAAGTCCCCGCCAAAGATCAAAAGATCAGGGGGGTCAGCTGCACCAGAGATTTGTTCCGAAGACTTCCGTATCTCGCTGTGATGCAGAAGATTGATTTTGGCGCTGTTTTGTCGCACCCTCTCTCCTGTGGTATGTGAAGCACTGCCCAGCTTCCATGCCCTCACAGGCTGCGACTTCACTGCAGCATTCAGGAGGAAGGCGAAGTCGAAACCATATGCAATTATGGTGAAGAATGAATGATTTGTTAAGGCATTATCCATGCTAGGAACGTCGGATACGATTGATGTGGATGTTGCGGCCACACTCGAGGAATACGTCTGCTGCATGTACGGGTTGAAGAATGCCCAAAGGACCAACGATGCAAGACTGCAACTCTTCCAAAAAATGTATGCACCCAAGAAGCAGTCAGACCCATTGGAGAAAATCAAGTCCTCTGATCCATGCTGCCTACCACCATGCAGAGCAGTTCTTGAAGAAAAACTAAAGCGAACCAACCATGTGACATTTATCTTGAAGAATGCATGCAGTGCAGACCCAGTAGGATTTGGTCCCATTGGGCATGGTTGGAAAGTGGATGACAATAACAGGTTGGCTATGGTGTGGTTTGAGTGCCCTCAGGTGCCTCGAAACTTGTCAGTGGATGATTTGGACTTGACTGATGAAGATGAAGATGACGGTATGCTGACCCCAAGCCTTTCTTCAGATGAAGAGGAGTCTGATGAAAAATAGTATCATTGAAGTCAACAACATGATAACTGCATGTCACTGCAGTTTTATAGTGATGACTTATTGTCTGGTAAATAAGTTTTAATACCGGAATATCAGATCCTCATATGTAGGCATTAGAGATGGCAAATGGGTAATTCGGGTGTACCAAGATTAACATGATCTATCGTTGTTCTTGATCCTTTATTTAGGGCAGAAGACCATATATGGACTTTCAAATTGCCCTGGTTATGTAGGCCATATTTGTTCATTGCTTGCATAAATTCATTACAAGTGGATGCAATTTTTTACCCAGGAAAAGATTAGCATAGGCCTACTTCGCAGTTTATCATAATATCATCCTGTATTCAAAATAACTTGGCTACAACATTTCCACTGCATATGTGGATTCATATGGAAGTGCCATCGGGTGGTGAAAATCATAACTTTTGAGACATATATGGGCTGAGAGCTAAAAATGCACATTATCTACAGTGCTGTGGGCAAGCCTAACCGCTAGATATTGCTTAAAAAATGGTTTTTAAAACTTACCTGGCATCTTATCTAATAAAACATATTCACTTTATAAAAGTTTTTGTTGTCTTTCCTACTAAACTGGGCTTGGATAAGAACAAAGACGGAATTTTTAGCTCAAGAGTCGTCACGTGACCTTTGACCCCCTACTGATCTGTAAAAAGGTCAATTTGCATATTTCATGATTGGATCCAAAGGAGCTTACCACGATGTTCATTTTGTCACCTAGATCTCTTTTATAGGTCCATTAATAAGAGTGCATTTCAATTTTGAAGTTGCCCTACCCCACTTTTTGCCAGATAGTCCATACCGGCAAAATGAGAGAAAAGGGTTAATTCTGGCTAAATGCCCCGGCTGTGCCATTCAAGCAGTTCTGTTTTGGATACCCCATGGGATACCCCTTTCAGAAATACCAATGAAAGACTCTCTCATTTCATGCAGATAAATGACCCCTGGCTCCTGGACTATTACATACACACCTACATGCGCGCACATACATACATACATACATACATACATACATACATACATTAATACATACATACATACATACATACATACATGTATACACACATATAGTGTTTGTGTGGGGGTGTTTTTGTATGGGTATGTACTGTGTGCAACACGTGTTTGTGTCTGTATCTGTGTGTGTGTGTGTGTGTGCGTGTGTGTGTGTGAATGTATGTGTGTGTGTGTGTGCGTGTGTGTGAGTGTGTGTATGTGTGTGTGTGTTTGTGTATGTTTGTGTTTGTGTGTCTATGCTGATGAGGCCCAAGTATCGCAGCAACAGTATGATTTGGTTTCTTAGATAGTTACTAGTCTTTTCATCAGAATTTTAACAAAGTATGTTGTAATTTCATTACAGCTTGTTGTTTGTTGGAATTACTTTAATCCTCTTAAACCAGAGGAGGTTATGCCTTCAGGGGATTATTGTCCGTCTCAAATTAGTAATAAAAAATGAAAAACGATTATCTACGAAGAATATACTTATGTCTTCGTTGGACAAACTTTTACCTACGTAGAAGATACGTTTATGTAATGTATTTGCTACGTTCTAATTCGTATATCTACAGGTCTGTGTTTCTATTTTATCTTTTAAAATATCTTACTTTGTTCATTTGTTACATTTTGTATAACCTTTAATTGCTCATATCAGCATTTTTGTGGGACCTCTCACAAAGTAGTGTCACTCATCTTTCACTTGGAACTATATGTAGAAGAGCAGTCACAGATCTGATACCAATGACATAGAGGTCGTATTTACTGGCATACATGCACACACACACACACACACGCACACGCACACGCACACGCACACACACACACACACACATATGTGTGTTTGTGTGTATATGTGTGTGTATACTGTTGAGGGCATAGTATCGGAGATGAATATAATTTGGTTTCTTAGTTAGTCACTATTCTTTTCATTGGAATGTTAAGAAGGTATGCTATAATTTCAATATTGTATTACAGTGCTTGATGTTGCTTGGCGCAATCCACCAACGATTGCCGAGTTTAATCATCTTAGAATACTCTTCGTATAAGGTCAAAGTGAATATTTACGTTAGTGACCAAACCCTTTTCATTATAGATTTTCCATCCTTTCAATTTTGATCAAAACAGATATATTTCAGCAGTAACTGACTGCAACAAATTTATTATACATTCTGATGCACTTTGAAACTCAACAAGACATGCCCGAAGATACCGGATATTATTTGTGTATGCTTTGAATTTTGATTTCGTGCCGTTATCATGATGGATTCTGTTTTTGTTGTTGGGGCAAGGAGTTATTACCCTAGCAAAGGTTGTCAGTAAGTTGTTGTTAGTTCTTCCAATACGTTTATATATACATATAATTATACAACAATGTACGATAACGACCTCAATCCTCCCCCACACCCATACTTTAATGACGATTGTACGATAAACCCTGTACCAACACTGACAAGGATAGGTTCTAGTCATTTAACGCCTTTGACCCTAAAACTTATAAGGTTATTAGGTGGCGTAAAATCAAATTCACTCACTCACTATAAAACGATTGTCAAATTGTGTGTAAGTTTGAGAATCCGTTAAGCGCCATTCCAAAAACGTTTTCTGCCAGCCCCGTGAAGATCCGGGGTAGAATAGGTCTTCAGCAACCCATGCTTGCCGTAAAAGGCGACTATGCTTGTCGTAAAAGGAGACTAACGGGATCGGGTGGTCAGACTCGATTATTTATCGCCGTCATGTAGCTAGAATATCGCTGGGCGCGGCGTTAAACAACAAACCAACCAACCAAATTTTCTGCCATCTTTGAATCGGAAGCAAAACCTTGATTCGTCTGTAAACATGGTGTAACGCCATCGGCAAACAGGCAATCCCTTGTATCACCTAGCCCCCCCCCCCCCCCCCCCCCCCCCCCCCCCTCCTTTGCTGCATGTTACCCGTGAAGATCCTGGGAAGAATAGGTCTTCAACAACCCATGCTTGCCGTAAAAGGCGACTATGCTTGTGGTAAAAGGAGACTAACGGGATCGGGTCGTCAGGCTCGCAGACTTGGTTGATGCATGTCATCGATCCAAAGTGCGTGGATCGATGCTCATGACATTAATCACTGGATTGTCTGGTCGAGACTCGATTATTCACAGACCGCCGTCATATAGCTGAATATTGCTGAGTGCGGCGTTAAACAACAAACTAACACAAGATCCCTTGTGTCACCTTGCCCACCCTAATCCTTGCTGAAGGTGTTAAGGTAACATCTTTCACAGGACGCCTTGCTTTCAGGAGGGTGCTTGGCCACCGTCATATAGCTGGAATATTGCTGAGTGCGGCGTTAAACAACAAATACACAAAACAAACTGTTTCGGTGGATAGTTGAGACTGGTTATTCTCTAGAATTGACGCTTTCTATATATTTGTATACCTTTTTCAGAAATGGCTCGTGAGCGTTGGCTTCATCATCTGGACTACTTGATCACGCTAGTCGGTTATAGCGTCGGTGCTGGGACGTTTCTAAAGTTCCCATATCTGTGTATGCGGAACGGCGGGGGTAAGTACAGGTACCGCGTGAGGTCGGTTTGGTTGGTTGGTTGGTTGTTTTATGCCGCACTCAGCAATATTCCAGCTGTATGGGATCGGGTGGTCAGACTCGCTGACTTGGTTGATGCTCATGATGTCAATCCCGTGACGATTCCGGGGTAGAATAGGTCTTCAGCAACCCATGCTTGCTGTAAAAGGTGACTATGCTTGTCGTAAAAGGCGACTAACGGGATCGGGTGGTCAGGCTCGCTGACTTGGTTGATGGATGTCATCGATCCCAATTGCGTGGATCGATGCTCATGATATTAATCACTGGATTGTCTGGTCCAGACTCGATTATTTACAGACCGCCGTCATATAACTGGAATATTGCTGAGTGCGGCGTTAAACATCAAACAAACAAACAATCAAGCAGATCTGGTCCTCTTATAGGGCGGACCTTTTTCTTGGTGTCGCAGTGAATGGCACAAAGCTATTCTGATCAGTTTGGCCCTAAATATGAAAACCTGTTTCAAAATCTATGAAACCTGGTTCCACCACTTGGAATCAGAATTCAACCACACATCACTGCAGCTAAAATAGATTTATATTTTATATCACCTCACCGTCTTCGGTCTTCTCCTCCCTGGCAGATGGTGAAGCCAGAAGTAGACCTCACTCTAACCAATCTAAAAAAGTCGGATACCAATCCTTTGGTATATCAACAATCATACAACCAATTACGCTCAAAATATAATTCTCACAGGTCCATTTTTACAGACGGGTCCAAGGATGGTGGCAAAGTTGCAAGTGCCACCATCATTGGATCCAGAACTGTCTCCTCAAGAATCCCAGATTTTAGTTCAATTTTTACTGCTGAGGCCAAAGCTATCCTAACAGCTTTGAGCTATATTCAACAACAAAACCAATCTAAAAATGTCATCATCTTCTCTGATTCGTTATCTTGCCTTCAGGCACTTAAAAGTGTCTCACCATATCACCCTATTATCCTTGACATTTTAGAATTCTATAATGATCTTTCTACTGGCCATTGTGACATCGTCTTTTGCTGGTTACCAAGTCATGTAGGCATAAGAGGTAACTCAAAAGCCGATGCTGCAGCTAAAGCAGCTCTTGACAAATCGTTATCTCCACTTTTTATCCCGTACAGTGATTTCAAACCAACCATCAAATCTTATACTCGGGATCACACGCAAAAGAGGTGGGACACCCAAGTAGGAAGCAATAAACTACACGAATTGAAACCAACAATCGGTCATACCTACTTGGGTTGTCAGTCAAGACATGACGAGGTCGTTTTACGACGATGTCGTATTGGCCACAGTCGGTTTACACAGTCACGAATATCTGCTTAAGACAGATGAGGACGAACCTCCTAAGTGTATCCCTTGTGATGAAAGGTTCACCGTCAAGCATCTATTGCTTGACTGTGTGGACTTTGCAATCGCAAGGGATTCACATTAGCAAAGTGTAAATCTGAAAGGTCTCTTTCCCTGTGTCAGCGGGCATCTCATCATAAATAACTTGAAAGAAATTGGTCTGTATAATAAATTTTAAATATGTATGTGAATATTTAAATGCTTGTTTTTAACTTTGGTGTGATGCTACTATTAACAGACATTATTGAAGGCTCTGTCCAGGAGGTTAAAGTACCGTAAAAATATTGCCTCCCTGTGTGACACGTAATCCTATCATAATCAATCATTATGTAACTGTCATCAACCAGTGTTTTTAAGCCAACTCATTGACGAGTATTTTTTAATATTGGCTAGCATAGTGCACAACCACCAGTGGCTAAAGTGATGACGTAAATCCTGCTGGGGTATCATGCAGGAAGAAGAGGTACTGTAAGTCCCCATGATCCCCAGCGAGGTGGCCTAGCTTTGGTTACTGATGGCCTATAGCCCGTGTTTCAAAACTGTATATATAATATTGTTCAATATGTTTCATGAATTGCTTCTAAATATAGTATGCTCAAATATGTTTTACAACTTGTTTTTAAACAAAACTTTGTATTAATGACTAAATTGTAAATATATTTACTTGGTCTCATCGCTATATGGCTGCGATAGTGCCGATGCGACGTTAAATTTTAACTCACACACACTCACACACTCTGATCAGTTTGGACACGTGATGATTTGTTTACATAGAGTAGTCAGTAGATCGCCATGATCCGTATATACTTCATGTTTCAACAGGTGCTTTCCTCCTTCTCTTCATGCTGTTTACCGTTATCGGCGCCATCCCCTGTGTATTTGTGGAGATGGTCATTGGTCAGTTCTCGCAGAGTGGTCCTGTCACAGTATGGAACATGTGCCCTCCATTCAAAGGTTAATTTGCTAATGCACTTACAGACGTTTGTCATTCGGGACAATACCTTTCCAAATTTTATACTGTCGGAAAAATAAATTCCCTGTCCAGTTAGTACAGGTTGCCATGGATCCGTTAGACTAACGGGATCGGGTGGCCAGGCTCGCTGACTTGCCTGATACATGTCATCGTATCTCGATTGCGTGGATCGATGCTCATGATGTCAATCACTGGATTATCTGGTCTAGATTTGATTATTTACAGACCGCCGTCATATAGCTGGAATATTGCTGAGTGCGGCGTTCAACAACAAACATTACAATATACGTCTGACCGGATCGTCCTAGTCGGTAATTCGGGGTCCGCAGCAAAGTATACTGGTAGTAACAGGCGACCCCAATCGGATTACGTGTCATCGTTTCCCGACGGCGTCAATCTTTGCTCACAATAATATTATCAATCACTTGATTGTCTGCTCCAGAATCGATTACTTACAAACTGGAATATTTTTGTGAGTGGCGTAAAACAATAAATATTAACTTCCCCACAGCCGATCTATTTTCTAGCCTGGTTTTGACCTACTTATAATGCAGTGCTTAACTAAAAAAACAACTTTTTTTCTGAAAGCGACTAATATGGGTTTTTGGGTGTTACAGGAATAGGACTGGGGACAGTAGTCATCTCGTGGATATACGCCACCTACAACTCGGCGATATTCGCCTGGTATATGTACTACTTCTTCAATTCCTTCTCAACCTACCTTCCATGGACGCATTGCAGCAACGAGTGGAACACGCCCAGTTGTGTATCGCACAACACAGACGTCAACGACGTTAACAACAACGTCTCCACAAATGTTACCATCGGGGGCTTGACAGCTGCAGAGGAATATTGGAGGTAGGTGACTATTTAATATCCTTGGTGACGCAGGGATAATTTACGGAACCACATTAGGGCCACATAATTATTATTTTTTAAATCTTGAAAAATAGTGTTATTATCTTGAGAATTCAAGATGCTCTCTTGAGTGAGTGAGTGAGTGAGTTGGGTTTAACGCCGCTTTTAACAGTATTCCAGTTATATCACGGCGTGTCAGCTTAATGTGGGAGGAAAGCCCGAAGTGATGAAGGTCTCAGACGTTTACCACTTCGGTGAAACCCACGAGCACGGGTATGGTGCTGACAAACCTAGAAACATAATCAGGGCGAACCGGGATTCGAACCCACAATCATAGGTTTCTGGCGTGCCCAAGGGACGCAACTCTGCACAGCGAATCGCGGCGCCTTAGACGACTGGGCCACCCGTGCCCCCGATGCTCTCTTGAACACTCACCTGGCACAAGCGTCAACTCAAAGCGGAACGTGAAGACTAGGGATGTTCAGTTGCTGAAATCAGTTGAAGAGTTCAAAATTTTGTTTGTTTGTTGTTTAACGCCACTCAGCAATAATCCAGCTGTATGACGGCGGTCTGTAAATAATCGAATCTCGACCACACAATCCAGTGATTGACATCATGAGCATGGATCCACGCAATTGTGATACGATGACATCAACCAAGTCAGCGAGCCTGACCACCCGATCCCGTTAGTCGTCTCTTTCGACAAGCATTGTCGCCTTTTCCGGCAAGCATGGGTTGCTGAACACCTATTCTTGAATTAATGTTCAACATAATAACTAACAGTATAATTTTGAATTTTCAAGATATATTTCAAGGTAATAACTTGAAGTTTAATTTTCAAGAAAGCAATTTGATTTGTCAACTTAATTTTTTTTTAAATTCAACAGAGTTGAATTTTCAAGATAATAAAAAATGTTTCTGTATATATTTGCAAGAGACACAACATACAATATTCAGGACTTTTAGCGTGTTCAAATTCCTTCATTGCTACATTCGAAAGAGCCACTTCCTCGGTCTATTGGATAAAGCGTCAAGTCGCTCCAGGACGCTGGTCGACGGTCGACGTTCAGCAGTCGACCCGTGAAGATCCGGGGTAGAATAGGTCTTCAGCAACCCATGCTTGCTGTAAAAGGTGACTATGCTTGTCGTAAAAGGCGACTAACGGGATCGGGTGGTCATGCTCGCTGACTTGGTTGATGCATGTCATCGTATCCCAATTGCGTGGATCGAGGCTCATGATATTAATCACTGGATTGTTTGGTCCAGACTCGATTATTTACAGACCGCCGTCATATAGCTGGAATATTGCTGAGTGCGGCGTTAAACAACAAACCAACCAACCAACCAACGTTCAGCAGTCGTTAAAGCAAGCCTTATCCTTGTTTGACTTCGTGGGATTTATCTTGATCAACACACACGTACTTACAGGTCGCTACATCGGCACAATAGTCTTGAACGGGATTTCACCTCGCATGAAGGTTCCATTCGTCCGTGACTTATAATCATAAGTGACACGGTTGCGGGTGGTCGTTATCAACAGGTGGACTCCTGTAGTTTCAAGGGCTTCCGTCTTGCCCCACTCAGAAACACGTGTAGCGCATGTGGTGTCACTCGAGGCATGTGACCTTATTCGAAATATGCCTCTGTTCACCCAGCAGTTAGTGGATACCCGGTAGAATGTGACTGTTAACCTAGCGCTTCAGGCAGCTTTGGTTGTATACTCCCCAGGGAGAGGAGCATGAAAATCGAGTGCGCTCTGATCCATTGACCGGGATAAAAGTAATGCAATGAAAATGAGCATTCACTTGCTAAATGGCATTTGGCGCATCATGAATGAAATTATCAGTAGTAGTAGTAGTAGTAGTAGTAGTAGTAGTAGTAGTAGTAGCAGTAGTAGTAGTAGTAGTAGTAGTAGCAGTAGTAGTAGTATGATATTGCTGATGGCCATGCTAAATGACATTTGGCGCATTGTGAATGGAATTATCAGTAGTAGTAGTAGTAGTAGTATGATATTGCTGATGGCCATGCTAAATGACATTTGGCGCATTATGAATGGAATTATCAGTAGTAGTAGTAGTAGTAGTATGATATTGCTGATGGCCATGCTAAATGACATTTGGCGCATTATGAATGGAATTATCAGTAGTAGTAGTAGTAGTAGTATGATATTGCTGATGGCCATGCTAAATGACATTTGGCGCATTATGAATGGAATTATCAGTAGTAGTAGTAGTAGTAGTATGATATTGCTGATGGCCATGCTAAATGACATTTGGCGCATTATGAATGGAATTATCAGTAGTAGTAGTAGTAGTAGTATGATATTGCTGATGGCCATGCTAAATGACATTTGGCGCATTATGAATGTAATTATCAGTAGTAGTAGTAGTAGTAGTATGATATTGCTGATGGCCATGCTAAATGACATTTGGCGCATTATGAATGGAATTATCAGTAGTAGTAGTAGTAGTAGTATGATATTGCTGATGGCCATGCTAAATGACATTTGGCGCATTATGAATGGAATTATCAGTAGTAGTAGTAGTAGTAGTAGTAGTAGTAGTAGTAGTATGATATTGCTGATGGCCATGCTAAATGAAATTTGGCGCATTATGAATGGAATTATCAGTAGTAGTAGTAGTAGTAGTAGTAGTAGTAGTAGTAGTATGATATTGCTGATGGCCATGCTAAATGAAATTTGGCGCATTATGAATGGAATTATCAGTAGTAGTAGTAGTATGATATTGCTGATGACCATGCTAAATGGCATTTGGCGCATTATGAATGGAATTATCAGTAGTAGTAGTAGTAGTAGTAGTAGTAGTAGTAGTAGTAGTATGATATTGCTGATGGCCATGCTAAATGACATTTGGCGCATTATGAATGGAATTATCAGTAGTAGTAGTAGTATGATATTGCTGATGACCATGCTAAATGGCATTTGGCGCATTATGAATGGAATTATCAGTAGTAGTAGTAGTAGTAGTAGTAGTAGTAGTAGTATGATATTGCTGATGGCCATGCTAAATGACATTTGGCGCATTATGAATGGAATTATCAGTAGTAGTAGTAGTAGAAGTAGAGGTGGTAGTAGTAGTAGTATGATATTGCTGCTGGCCATGCTAAATGACATTTGGCGCATTATGAATGGAATTATCAGTAGTAGTAGTAGTAGTAGTAGTAGTAGCAGTAGTAGAAGTAGAGGTGGTAGTAATAGTAGTAGTAGCAGTAGTAGTAGTAGTATGATATTGCTGATGGCCATGCTAAATGACATTTGGCGCATTATGAATGGAATTATCAGTAGTAGTAGTAGTAGTAGTAGTAGTAGTAGTAGTAGTAGTAGTAGTATGATATTGCTGATGGCCATGCTAAATGAAATTTGGCGCATTATGAATGGAATTATCAGTAGTAGTAGTAGTATGATATTGCTGATGACCATGCTAAATGGCATTTGGCGCATTATGAATGGAATTATCAGTAGTAGTAGTAGTAGTAGTAGTAGTAGTAGTAGTAGTAGTAGTATGATATTGCTGATGTCCATGCTAAATGACATTTGGCGCATTATGAATGGAATTATCAGTAGTAGTAGTAGTAGTAGTAGTAGTAGTAGTAGTAGTAGTAGTAGTATGATATTGCTGATGTCCATGCTAAATGACATTTGGCGCATTATGAATGGAATTATCAGTAGTAGTAGTAGTAGTAGTAGTAGTAGTAGTAGTAGTAGTAGTATTATATTGCTGATGGCCATGCTAAATGAAATTTGGCGCATTATGAATGGAATTATCAGTAGTAGTAGTAGTATGATATTGCTGATGACCATGCTAAATGGCATTTGGCGCATTATGAATGGAATTATCAGTAGTAGTAGTAGTAGTAGTAGTAGTAGTATGATATTGCTGATGGCCATGCTAAATGACATTTGGCGCATTATGAATGGAATTATCAGTAGTAGTAGTAGTATGATATTGCTGATGACCATGCTAAATGGCATTTGGCGCATTATGAATGGAATTATCAGTAGTAGTAGTAGTAGTAGTAGTAGTAGTAGTAGTATGATATTGCTGATGGCCATGCTAAATGACATTTGGCGCATTATGAATGGAATTATCAGTAGTAGTAGTAGTAGAAGTAGAGGTGGTAGTAGTAGTAGTATGATATTGCTGCTGGCCATGCTAAATGACATTTGGCGCATTATGAATGGAATTATCAGTAGTAGTAGTATTAGTAGTAGTAGTAGTAGTAGCAGTAGTAGAAGTAGAGGTGGTAGTAATAGTAGTAGTAGCAGTAGTAGTAGTAGTATGATATTGCTGATGGCCATGCTAAATGACATTTGGCGCATTATGAATGGAATTATCAGTAGTAGTAGTAGTAGTAGTAGTAGTAGTAGTAGTAGTAGTAGTAGTAGTATGATATTGCTGATGGCCATGCTAAATGAAATTTGGCGCATTATGAATGGAATTATCAGTAGTAGTAGTAGTATGATATTGCTGATGACCATGCTAAATGGCATTTGGCGCATTATGAATGGAATTATCAGTAGTAGTAGTAGTAGTAGTAGTAGTAGTAGTAGTAGTAGTAGTAGTAGTAGTAGTATGATATTGCTGATGTCCATGCTAAATGACATTTGGCGCATTATGAATGGAATTATCAGTAGTAGTAGTAGTAGTAGTAGTAGTAGTAGTAGTAGTAGTATGATATTGCTGATGTCCATGCTAAATGACATTTGGCGCATTATGAATGGAATTATCAGTAGTAGTAGTAGTAGTAGTAGTAGTAGTAGTAGTAGTAGTAGTATTATATTGCTGATGGCCATGCTAAATGAAATTTGGCGCATTATGAATGGAATTATCAGTAGTAGTAGTAGTATGATATTGCTGATGACCATGCTAAATGGCATTTGGCGCATTATGAATGGAATTATCAGTAGTAGTAGTAGTAGTAGTAGTAGTAGTAGTATGATATTGCTGATGGCCATGCTAAATGACATTTGGCGCATTATGAATG